GGTGGAGTGCTTGATGCCTGTGAGAGTCTTAGTGAATATGTCAGCTAACTGATCAGATGTGGAGATATGATGCAAGGAAATCAGACCCTTCTGAAGTTTGTCTCGTATAAAATGGCAGTTAACTTCTATATGTTTGGTGCGCTCATGAAAAACTGGGTTCTTGGCTATGTGTAAGGCTGTCTGGCTATCACAGAAAACTGGAATTGGGAGAGATAATGGAACTGTTAATTCTTCAAACAGCCTGGCCAGCCAAACGAGCTCACCAACTACTACTCTAGTCGACCTGTACTCTACCTCAATTGAGGACAGGGATATGGTGGACTGTTCTTTTGATTTCCAACTAACTGGGCAACCACCAAGCAGTATCAAGTACCCACTAATAGACTTCCTGGACTCTGGGCAGGCAGCCCAGTGTGAATCATAGAAGGCACTGATCATATAACATGTTCTGCTGGATAGGAATATCCCCAAATTGGGATCACCTTTCAAATACCTCAACACATGATACGCAACCTTTAAGTGAGTATCTCTAGGATTCTGCATGTATTGGCTAAGATGTTGTACACTAAATGCTATGTCAAGTCTGGTATTGGTAAGAAAATTCAGCTTCCCAACCAGCTTTCTATAATGAGTGGGATCTTCTAATGGAAGACCTTCTTCAACTTTCAACTTGAGTGAAGGATCAAGAGGAGAAGACAATGAAGATTGTTGCAAACAGTCATACTCCTCCAATAAATCCATAGTAAACTTCCTCTGAGAGATCAGTACCCCATCTTCCTTATACAACACTTCCATTCCCAAGAAATAATGCATAATGCCTAAGTCTTTGATCTTGAAGGTCTGGTCTAAGAACTTCTTCAAGGAGTTGATCTCATCAATATCATTTCCTGTGAGTATAACATTATCTACATACACTGCCACAAAAACCATTGTGTTGCCTTTCTTCTTATGAAATAAGGAATAATCCAGCAAGGAGTGAGTATATCCCTTTGAACACAATGCTTCTGCAAGCTTTTCATACTATTGTCTGCTTACCTGCTTCAAGCCATACAAAGATTTATTCAGTTTGCACACTAAACCTGGTCTCTCTATAACTAAACCAGGTGGTACTTCCATGTAGACTTCCCCATGTATGAAGGCTCATGAGGCATATCAGGTTCAGAGGCAAAAACTGATATATTAGGGTGAATCTGTTGTGCAGAGGGAAACTGGCCAGGACAGGACACATTGTTGAAATTGAAAGACAAGTAGAAGGGAAATACATTTTCATGAAAAATTACATCTCTTGACACATGTATCTTCCTTGTGACCATACTTAAGACTTTGTAACCCTTTGAACCAAATGTATAGCCTACAAAGACATGAGGAGTGGCTCTTGGCTCGAACTTATCTTTATGGTTTTTCAGTGTAGTAGTGAAACATAAGCAGCTAAAACTTCTGAGATGACAATAGTTAGGCTTTTTCTTGTAGAGCAGTTCATAGCGGCATTTATTATTTATGGAGGATGAAGGCAATCTATTTATCAGGTATGTAGAGGTAAGTATACACTCTCCCCAGTACTTTAGGGGTAACTTGGGCTGGAAAAGCAATGCTCTAGCTGTTTCAAGGAGGTATTTATATTTTCTCTCTACCACCCCATTTTGTTGGGGTGTGTAGGGGCAGGTCTTTTGGTGGACAACTCCTTTAGACTAGAAAAATGAAACAGCCTTAGAACTGGTGAACTCTAGTCCATTATCAGTCCTTATGGACTTGATTGGAGTCCCAAACTGGTTTTCTACCATGGTGAAAAATGCTTTAATCACATATAAAGCATTACTCTTTCTATCCAAAAGATGTGTCCAGGTAGACCTACTATAATCATCTATGAGGGTTATAAAGTCTTTGTGGCCATCATAAGTATTTACATGATAAGGTCCCCACAAATCAATGTGTAGTAGTTCAAAAATTTTGGTTGAGGATGAACTTTTCAATGAAAAGGACAATCTTGTTTGTCTGGCCATAGGGCATATAGGGCACATGAATGGTTGTTTTGAGGCAAATTTAACTGGTATGGTTGAGATACCTCTCATATTTACAAAGGGTATATGTCCTAATCGATTGTGCCACAAGGAATCAACAGTATCAACACCATTAACAAAGACATTAAGCACATAATGACAATTTCCTTTATTCAAATTTGAACTATGTACAGAAATCTGTGAATCAGAAAGTGCTTTATTTACATGTGTGTAATGTGAAGTGGAAGGGCAAGACACAGAATCAAAAACAGTGCTAGAAGTAGACTTTGAGAACTGAAAGTACAAATCATCTATTGCTTTACCAATCTCCATAGGGCTCTTCACTGAATGGGGCCTGCGGAAGGAAGCAAGCAAATTTGGTAAATGCAACTATACAATCAAGCTGAACTGTCAAAGAATGAACAAAAATCAGGTTATACTTGAAATTAGGCACAAAAAGAACTTTTCTTATGGTGAATTTTGGGCTAAGGACTACATCTCCAATGAGTGTCACCTTTACCTTATATCCATTTGGCAATGACACCAGGAAAGGATAAACTAGGTTTTTAGTGTTGGTTAACCAAAATTTCTTAAAGGTCATATGGTTTGTGGCACCGGAGTCTAGGATCCATGAGTCAACATTTGGCTTAAAACAATCATATGAGTAATTACTATGCTCAACCGAATTACAGCAAGTCATAGTACCTGCAAAATTGACAGCACCACCAGCCATGTTAGTGTTTCCGAATTTTTCCCTGCATTTCCTGATTGGAAGTTCTCGAGCAGGCTCAGCAACTGTCCATACTGTTCCTTGGTTAGATTGTGCAAATTCCGTCCCTGTTCTTGCAAAATTCCATCCTTTTCTCCAGCATTCATTCCATCACCTGGTCCTCCAAACACATTTGCAGCATTTATTTTCCCTTTGTTGAACTTGTTGAAGGTTTGTGAGTTGTTGTTGAACCTATTCATGCCCTGTGGATACCCATGAAGCTTGTAACATTTGTCTTTGGTGTGCCCCGGTCTTTTGCAATGCTAAAAAAAAATCCTAGTTCTGTTAGGATTATAATTTCCTCTGAAATCACCAGTTCCAACAGAAATCTGATTGTAGTTTGTCCTAAAGTTGTTGCCTCCTGAAGTATTAGCATTTAGAGCAGCAAAGTCGATCATGACTTGACTCTGGGACTTGACTTCCCTCTGCTTTTCCTCCTGAATAAGAATGGAGAAAGCTTGCGCTATGCTAGGTAAGTGGTTCATCATCAATATACTTCCCCTCACTACTGTATATACTTCGTTTAGTCCCATGAGAAACTGAATTAGCCTCCTATTTTGTTCAGCCTTTTGCATATTAGCTTTGGCTCCACAGACACAGTGACAGCTGCACTGAGCATGTATGCTCAAGGTATTTAGCTCTTCCCATAACTTTTTCATTTTAAGCATGTATGCTCAAAGTGTAATATCCAGTGATATCGAGGGTCCCTTGGCTTAGGTCGTTGATCTCCTTTTGTAATTGATATTAGTTTTGCTCCATTCGTCCGATCATACCTATCTTCTAGCTCTTGCCCGAGCTCCTTTGCATCGTTGACATACTGCAGGCTATCTGCTATATCCTTAGAAAGTGAATTTAGTATCCACGAGATTACCATGTCATCACATCGTTCTCACTGATCGAAGAGAGCATCGTTTGCATCCGGCCTTTTACATTTTCCATTAATGAATCCTACTTTATTCTTCACAGACAAAGCTCTTAGTACATCTCTTCTCCACGATCTGTACCCAGATCCATCAAAAGGGACCGGCACTAGAGTAGTTCCTGCATTCTTCGATGGATGCATGTAGAGAGGACTAGTCGGGCTCAGTGAGGTATTAGTTGATTCCGCCACTTCTTCTTCTGTGGCCATGATTCAAGCAGTTGAGGATACTAAAAAACAAGTTTCAGTTGAAAATTCAGCGGTCAAAAACTCAATTTCAGAGAAATTCTCAAAAAATGCGCGATCTGAGAACCCTAAATCGAACAAAAAAAGGAGATGAAATTCAAAGAGAAATAGATCGAAGAGAGTCGAACTAAGTAAAATTGACGAGGAGTTGGATCGAGAATCGGATCCTAAGCTCTGATACCATGTCAAAACTAGGAGAAGACATTGAAATCAAACTCTGCTCAAGCGAGAGCCATGGAACGGAGGAGAGAAGCCTCTAGAAGAATGTTGAAAAATGCATTATTTTTTCAACTCATTACCCAGTAATATATTTGTACACAGAAAAGAAGAAAAAGGAAACTTTGCCAGCTGGCAATGAGCTACACACTAACCACTAACTACCATAATTAAATATACATGTCAATAATGTGCAGAATGTTCCTACCAAAAGGTTACTGCTAAACATATTGCATCAGTTTCAGGGCAAAAGAAAGGTGGCAACAATAATTATCTGCCTATTGGTAACTCCAGAAACACAAAACAGACAATGATGTGGAAGCTACGTTAGCAAATGCTAAAATTTCTGTTTGGTTAATATTCCAATGAAAAACATCATAGTGAACTCAGAAAGTAAGGAATATGGTTCACAGTGTGCCATGAGAAAAGATTTGAGCAAAGGGAAGAAATATAAATGCATTCATGAGATCGTTTTGACTCATAATCAAGTGGTTTTAAGCGTATAAAAAGAAAAAGAATCAAAGGTATAGGTGGTTTGGGTATTAATGTCTTACTGTAAAGTAGAAACTATATCCAAGTTGCCATGTCTAATTCAGTTATTGACAGTGTGAAGAAGAACTTCAATAAAGGAAATAAGCCAAAACCAGAACTAGAAAACACCAATAGATGCTCTAGAATCAGAAGACACCAAATAGTGAAAAGAAATGAGGATGCCAAAGATTCATGTGGAAGCTATGACCTTTGGTCATTGGCATAGGAATTAGGAAATGCTAGTTTGAAGCTTAGAATTCCCAGTTTCAGCAACTAGACCCTACTGTTGAATTCAGATGTTGCTATGAATTCTTATCAACCAAATGTTAAATCCCTTTTGAACAGGCTTTGTGAGTCTTTGAAATAAGTCTTAAAGAAACCAAACAATCAGTATAGTATGAATAGTTTTATACTATTACCATGCTAATCAATCTAGATAAATCTTCTAATGGTTCTTTGTGAAAATTAGGTCTTTCCGAAACGAGGATATGAGGATGCCAAGATACTTTAATCTAAGCTCAAGTATGGAGTGGAAAACTGGCTCAAACATATAAGCTTAAGTATGAAGTGGAAAACTGGCTCAAACATCTATAATCGGCCCAAAAATCATACGTCTACACTATAATCATTCCAAACTCCTCGAAAGATAATAGTGCACCTATGAGTGTATTCACAAAGACATACTGATACCGATAGCACCAGAGGAGTCAAATAGATGTGAGGGCTTCATAGAATGTTCTATGAGATGCAAATGACAAAATAAATGCAACTGATAATCTATAGCAGGGGAAAGGAACAAAGACATGAACTTATAAGATTCTTATTTCAAATTCTCTTTTAGAGTAGACCAACAAGAAAGCAGTGTTTATATGCAATCTATAGCAGGGGAAATGAAGATAGACATAAACTTATCAGTCGAAAACACAGTTTAACATGCAATCCTCCAAATAGCACTTTCTATAGTAAACTTCTAAAACAGAAGTGCACCAGCATGACAGCTTAGAATTTAGAGCACCTGGCTAAGCCAACCAAACAGAAGAACATACGCCAACAGCTTTCGGCACTTATAACACCCTTAGGTTCATCTTTAGCTTATCAAGTGATGGTTATCGGGGGGGGGGGG